GTCGACCGCTCCTGTGTCGATTCCGATGACCGCTCCGGCGACTACTCCGATTCCGGTGACCGTTTCGGCGACTACTCCGATTCCGACGACTCAGGTCACAAGTCACAGTTCAGGTCACAACTCAAGTCACAGGTTACAGTCTAGGTCACAAATCAGAATTTTGTTCATAATCACGAGTTATTTTTTTTATTCTTTTTATAAGGATCACATGTTATTTTCAAATGATCACAGGTAAATTTTTCGTTGACAACTTAATTAATTTTGAGTCACAGTTCGAATTTTAAGGGTCACAGTTAACTAATTAGTCACAGGTCAACTACTGGATCATGTACCACCATCACCTCTAAATGTCTCCACAGCCACCGCTCCGGCCGTAAACCATGACAATCTCCAGCACCAACAATATCACTGCCACCACCACAGAAATTATAAGATCCACAAAACCACCACCCTGCCACCACAGATACATCATCACCACCACAAAACCGCCCCTGCCAAACCCCCTACCACCACACTCGCAACACACACACACACCCCACCACCATCTCCGTTTACACCACCCCCACACCAAAGAATCCACAAAACCTGACGACAGCAACCACATCAAAAACTGCAACAAAACATGTCGAACAATCACCACAAAACCCACCACACAACGCCGCAAACCACCACAAGCAGCGTCGGCCGCTACCCAACTCATCTAGGGTTTATTTGATTTGGGCATTGATTCCAATTTTTGACTAGCAATCGATGGATCTAAAGGGAGGCGAAAGAAGTGACGAGGGGCTGAGACAAAAGGAACCAGATGCGAAGGCGAGGGTTGATGGAGCCACAACGGTGATGAATGGAAGGTTGTTTTCAGCGTCGGCGGCGGGAGTACCACCGGATAACGCTGTTGCGAGTTCGCAGCAGCTTCCGCCAGTCACGTTTGACGCTACTGGCAAGGACGCTACCGTTGGGAACTACGCAGCTTCTGCTGGTGATGCTCCTCTGATGAACTGCCTCAACGCCGGAGCTGTGTTGTCGGCGAAGAGATGGTGTAGGGTGATGGTGGTGGTGTGTAATGGAGAGAGAGAGAGAGAGAATTGTTTGTAGGGTTTGTAAATTGTGTATATTATAATTAATTATAATATTTATTATTAATATTTAATTAGACATCAAAAATATGTATCTCTATATTTAAATCTTTGATTTTTGAAATTTAAAACACCAAATCTGATTTTAGAATTTAAATCTCCAAATGTAGGGAATGGTGTAATTTCCACAAATATTTAAGCAACTCAACTATTTATAACAAATGAGATTAGATTGACTATATTCATATTTGATCCATTTAGTTAATGAATTATCGGATTCAAATCTTGATCGACGTTATCGGACTGAGCCCTAAATTCATCTTCCATTAATTTCATCGAATTCAGATCGAATTCCAATCCATTAATAGTTCTAATCTAACCATTACCCATAACAAATCCCACAAAAATAAAAAAATAAAAAATGACAAGGAAGTTGTTTCTGATCATGTCATAGATGTCACGAAAGAAATTAATATACTGGTCATCCTTCTCCTTTTAGGCACTTCATAATTATTTTTAAGCGGGAAGAAAAAGATTTCATTTAACTTACTCGATCTAAGTCAGAGACAAACCTATACCAATATAACCTCATCTTTTAGTTCATTATTCTGCTATATTTTTCGTTTGAAGAACAAGAAGCTTATGACACCGTTTAATAATCATTGAAAAACTCAAAGAAAAAGGCAAGCAAAATCCTCCCTTCACACTAGTAACAAATGTATGATTAAAGATATTTTACAAGTCTCATTCGTTGCACATCCTTTTCAGGTATAAATATAAAAATTTCCCTGCCCGAAAAGAATGAACTCCTTCGGTAAGTTTTTCTTTCTTGAGAGGCCCCTCAAGTGCCCGTGATAAGATAAAGTTTTAGTGAAGTCAATGCCCCGAGGCACCCGAGATAATATAAAATTTTAATCAAGTAAAAAAGTGCTATCGGAATAAAACGGCGCGCCCATATCACTCTTGTTATGCTGTTAAATAACAAGCCTTCCAGTTTCTATTTCCGACAATAAGAAATTTCTCTGTTCGCATCAACTGAACTCACCATGCCCGAAATCTTCACGTATCGAGTTCCAACTTCCGAGTAGCATATATAGCAATAAGAGCAATTAGTAATATAGCTGGCCCTCCAAGTGGAAATTACATTGAAAAGATAAGGATAAGAGAGCTTTTGCCATCAGTGTATATACACAAGGACAATCTTTGAACCCGCCCCCACCATTTGTGCTGGTTTGGGGAGTGGGAAGCCATTTAAAGTGGATGTCATCTCTGTAATCAATAGACTTATCATCAAAGCATTAAGTTTTAAGATGTATAAGTGGCAACACTGCATTGGCTGGTTGAACTGTGTTTTTTGTCCAACATCCAATTAAATCTTGTCACCTCTACATCTGTCAAAAAAACCGTCAACCATTTCTGTACATGTAGCAAGGTTGTTAGAGGACGGCCAGCCCATCTGCCCACTTTGACACTACTCATTCTACATGCTCAATAGGCTGGCTGATATTGGTGACAACACAGATTGTAACGAGCCCAAAATCACGAGTTCAAAAGCTCTCAACTATCCAAAGAAAGTCGGAAGAAATCCTGAGTAAGTTAGCAATAAAATGAAGACACAAAATGTTCTGTTGTCTCCTATTTTGTACCAAGTGGCAAAAACATTACATGATAACCTTGCTTCCTAGCAATAAGCAAAATATTTATCCACTATTGATCTATAGTATACTAAAAGAGATCTTATTGATCACATTTCCAGATCAGAAATGGATGACAGAAACACCAAGCAAATCAACAATTCTCTCATAGTTTTTGGCCTTAACGATATTATGTTCCTTGATTCTTGATCCGTTATCCAGCTTGACAAAGCGTTCGAGATCCTCTTGAGGAAGAGATTCTGTGTCTTTCCTTCTTACATTGGTAAGTGCTGGGTGTTTATCGAGCAGGTGTCAAAGCCAATCTTGAGGATATTGTCACCAACAACTGTAGTGGATTTGACTTCTTTGCTTAGTGTTGATGTCTTTGAAGCATCCAAGCCCCCACAACCTTCAGAACCCTTTTTCGCTTTACCACCCCCAAAGGCAAATGTTCTGCGGCCCACCACTCCAATTACATCCTTCGTGATATAGTGCTTTTCAATGATCTGAAGAGATTATGCATATCTTTATCCCTACAGCATGAATAAGAGGTATCATAAGAATTACAGATCAATCATGCCGAAGCAAATTTTTGCACGTTACGTACAAACTAATTAACACATGCAGTAAACAAAGTCAATTCCTCCAGCTGAATATTTTTATTTTCTTTTTCCAAGTGAATGGAAAAGCAATTTTTTGCTGTCCGATTATGTTTCTTCGAAGAGAGAAAAAGGGACAAAATGTGTCCATAAATACTCATGCATGGTCTTTTACAATCTAACTTCTGTATCTCCTTTAGTGGGGTACAAGATTAATGTTCATATTCTACTTATTTGACAAGTGGTATGAGCCTAATTTTGCAGCATTATCAATTGCTAATTGCTCATAATTACCTCGAGAGAATTTCGATCTTCTTAAATATTTTATTGGCAAAGTAATTGCAAAAGATTGTAGCCCCAAACTAAAGATAATTGCATAATTGTTCCCACTTATCATGGACGCACATAAGTTGATTTTTAAAGCTGATTTCCCGCTTGTATGAGAGTAGGCAACCCTGAGATTGCGTTCTCTATCATCAAGTTATAAAATTAAGCCGGATATGTAGCTAGATTATCAAAATTTGAAGTCAAAAATTGCTGCAAGTGAAAATGATCAAAACTATTTGTAATCTAGTTTTCAATATAAAAGCAAAAGATTAGTTCATTAGGTTCCTTTTATTCTGCAAAAAATTATCCAACCACACCAGTTACGAAATATGATCAATTTCTATTTTGCAGCAATAGGAAATAACAATTTTTTCCCACAAGTCTTACCAACAATAATGCCTATTTATTTTTCAAATATAGCCATGTTTTTCTATAAGCAGAAATGTTCCGATTATTATAGAAGGATCTTATTAGTTTCCAAAGACGAGGAACTCATCTCCATGGAAGGAAAGATCATTTAATAGCAGACCTTCCCAACTGACAGTAGCAAGCTCTAAGATTTGTATGATTTCACCTTATTTTGTGCTTATCCTTGCAAGTTGCACCCAAAAAGAAGAAAGAACATATGGTTGGGGATCCTTTCCCCTTGTCCTTTAATATGTTAGATGCCACTGGATAGAGAGTTAATGAGATTCTAAAGGGGAGGCAATATCTTTAGAAGGTTCAAAGCTTCTTTTCCTCCTTTGGGAGGGGAAGTAGGATTCAGGGTCTTAATCCCTCCAATCCTTTCTATCCAAACTTTTGGAGCAAACAAGCACCATTTTGGTTCAACGTGCATAACATTTCTCTGAAGGAAAAGCATTCTAAACCAACTTGGAATTCTTCTTTCTGATGAGAACAGTTTCAGTCTCTTCGTTCTTGCTCTGAAAAAGGTTTCACTTTTATTACAACAGCAAAAATTACAGAAAACAGAAACAGAACAAATATGACATTTTAATTATGTTGTGCAATTCCCCTGAAACAGATTTTTATTAATATTCTAAGACACACATATGCTAGCTCCAAGAAATGTTTAAGATTCTATAACGCTCTAGGAACTCAATAAATCTTTATGCAATTTGTGTCAGCCATCGAATCCTTAATTCATTAAGATATTTTATTTGATCTTTCAATGTACTGCACCTTCTTTTTATTTAAACTTTTATAATGGATTATTATAAACCTATAGAATAACATCAATATACGTACGGGTTAATTGTCCCAATAATCACTTAACTTATGTCCGTGTTTTTGATTGCTCATTGAAGTTTAAAATGTCGAGTTTTGGCCACTAAACTTATCCAAACGATGGACGTTACTCACTAGCATAGATTCGTTTCAAAACTCTAACAGAACGGGTGACGTAGCTAATGAAATGCATAGGTGATACCCTTTCAGAAAATGTCTTTGATTGCTCACTATACATTGAAAAATGTCTTCGATTGCTCAATGAACTTTGAGATGTTCGAATTTTTATCACTAAACTTATAAAAATGACGTCATCCTATTGTTTGCTAAAAATTGTGTACCACAAGCGCACGTGTCATGAACAGATAATAGAGTGGACAAAGGAGTTTGGATTGTCGATCTTACAAGGAATGATTACTCAATTACACAATTGTTATATTTAATTTTAACAACTAAACACGATAAATTTGGATTTTCAAATGATGAAAATAGCTTAAAATTTTACAAAAATAACGAAAACATCAAATAATAAAATTAACGAAAGATCTTATGTCCGTGATCCTTTCACTATTTTTGTAGAATTTTAAGTTAGTTTCATCATTTGCAAAATTCAAATTTATCGTGCTTCGTTGTTAAAATTAAATTTAACTATTGTACAATTGAATAATTATTTTTTGTGGGATCGACAACTCAAACTCGTTTGTCCACTTTATTACTTGTACGGACACGTGCGCTTGCGGTACATATTATTTAGCAAACAACAAGTCGATGTCATTTTTGTAAGTTTAGTGACAAAATTCGACCACCCCAAAGTTCAGTGAACAATTAAAGACATTTTCCAAAGTACACTATGCAATCGAAGACATTTTTCAAAATTTAGTGACCAATGAAAGACGTTTTCTTACATGACAATTTGGTAACAGAATGACGGGATGCCACCTATGCATTCCTTTAGCCACATCACCCATTTTGTTAAAAGTTTGAAATAGATGTTATATGACTTCGGATTTCTAGCAAAAAATATCAAGAACTGAAAGAACATCCATGATCGAAAAGGCCAAACCATTATGCCGACATTGGATTTCTTTTTAGTATATGATGCCTTGGTATCAACAGCGACTCATTTATTTTGTTTCAAGCTCCGTATAGTATAATACTTTGAAAAAACGAAAGAAGCTGTGTAATGGTCAACACCCAACAATCCGTAATTTCAGCACCAACAGCAACGAAACATCCAGATCCTTCATTCGCACAAGTATGAAACTCGGACTTGAGGAACTGATATTATGTGATGAATAATTATTGTCCATTAAGGCTCCCCATCGACCACAAAAAGGGCTCATTTCATATTCACGTGTCTTTGCATATTCGCACATTGACCGTCGAGGTACAACAAAGCGAAAGACACCTTGACCGCTAAAGCACCATTTAGCAACAAAGCATATAGAACCATAACGGCTAAAAACAAATTTAGGGCCTTGAACTAAGCTCTGATATATATGAACACAAACATTAATGTGAATTTATGACACAATCAACATAGATTTTAGTGCAACAAACTTATGTGTGCATATAACAAATTGCTTGAAAATGTCATGAAAACACAAAACGTAACAAAATCTTAGAAATTAGACTTAATCATGACTTTCAACACAATGATGAGGAAATGTCAATTCATAAAAATTACTAAAGGGCCCCTAAAACATCTATAAATAAGGTTATTCGCACAACTAAAAAGGATTGAAAACTTTAAGATCCAAACTTTCACTCCCTAAAAAGAAACCTTGGATCAAAGTAAAATTAGGATCCACCTTCTCAGAAATTCTTACATTCTCTAATGGAAGGGAGTTTTTCGGCCAAACAACTTCGAAAAATCCGTCTTTCTTCTTTTTACAAACACTTGGGCTCCTAAACACACAAGAAACCCCAGGAGGACAAAATCCTGCCAAAATTTCAATAGAAAACTTGAAGTTGACTTTTTAAAATAATTTATATTTTTAGGTTAACAAAGTAAGTTGATGTCAGACGAGTGATAAAACTAACACCTACAAGTTAAAAAATTTCCCTAAGGGCTTGCTTAGGAGTTTTGGGGTATGGATTATGGGCTTTTTTAAAGTATCAATTTTGAGCGTTTATAAATTGGTCGATTTTGAATAGTTTTAATATTGAATTTTTAAAAGTCCAACCCATACTTGGGAGTTTATTATTCATTGGCACCGAACGTTTTTAAGATAATAAAATTACATATATACCCTGTTGGCATAGATCTCTTAATCAAGAATTGGTTATAAATCCCTTCACTAAGAAAGGCTTATAAACGTGATGCAACTAGTACATTTAGGGTTTAGATTCAGTCTTCCTCCTCACCTATAGCTCCATCAGCTATTGTAGCTCCTCTAGTGACTATTATTACACATCCTCAGGTTTCTCCGGTGGCTCCTTCAATTACTACAGCTCCTCCAGTTATTATCTCATCTTCTCCTCATATCAAATCGAGACAACCTTCGGTATCTTATACAGTTGCTCCTCCATTTGTCTTTCCGCAGGCTGTCATACATGTTCCCATTTCATATTTTGATCCGATGTCGGATGATATGCTTCAAAGGCCACAAATACCAATTGATTCAGAGGATATAGATATTGTGGCTAAGCATAGGTCCAACACCAGGTATGGTCCAGGCACCTATTATTTTGATTCATCCTATTTGTCAGCATAATGTAGAGGCTTGTGTTCTATTGCATTTTGAGCAGTCAGATATAATGAATACATGATAGATAGAGGCCCATCAATAGGTTCCCTTACGTGGGTCTTCTTTTGAGGATTCAATTGTCTAAGAGGGGATATGACGATGGCTTCATCCCTGTCACACGGAAGAAGAACTCTTAGGCTATAGATACTCGATATCCTACCACTAGGATGATCACTAGGAGTAGAACACAAGATACTTTCTTAAATTCCCCTTCTTTACGAGTGTCATTATATGAAATGTGAGGGGTATAGCTAGTGTAACTACTTGTAGGCATCTAAAGTGACTTATTCAGCTTCATCAGGTTTATCTCTTGGTTATCTTGGAGCCTTTTCTTCAGGAGAGATTTACGTCTACTCGACGTTATTTGCGCTTCGATACGAAGGTTCAAAATGAGTCGAATAAGATTTGGTATTTTTGGAACGTGGGGACTACTGTTACTTCACTTGTTGATCGTCCTCAGTTCCTTCAAGTTTTGGTTGAGGACCCTAGATAGCAAACCTATTTTTCTTACTTTGATTTAGGTGTCATTCTTTCCTACTCGTATAAGGGACTTATGTGAGGGTCTTCATCACATTTTCCCTACTTTGAA